GAACCCAATATAAGTCAGGATTGTCAACGCCTTGTGGTCATTGGCAGTTCTTGACTGTGATTCTCGTTTATAAGTTGCTGTAAAGTTCGTACAGATCATGATTGTTCCATTTCTCCACGTATAGGTACCATGTTCATGCAAATGACCTGAAGCCTTGTGTAACACTGATCGATTAAGGAAAATGGTATACTCGTGTATCTGTAGAAAGATGTACATGCCAGAACAATTGGCTGATGGCATGTGTCTRCATACAACGATTTGTCCCACTGGTACTTGCGTTCCCTTGATTATTGTCAGATTGTTTGTGAAATATTCCTTAGCACCCAACACTTCACCCGTTTTGTTGATGTAAATGGATGCTGTTTGACCTGGAATGACATGATATTCATGAGTAGGATAGGTGTCTGTCTGGACACATGTTAGGGGTTTGGTAGCAACTTTTATAACAATGAAAGTGACATTACCAATTTGCAGTTGAAATGAACTGGATGAATCTAATAGGAGGCTGGTAGTGGTTTTCGAAGTTGTATTCTGATTATTTGCATAACCTGTTAAGTCTATCTGAAACTCAACTTTAATCAGGTCATTATCCAAATCAATCACTTCTACCTCGAACATAGATATTCGTGTAAAGCTAAGCCCTAAGCTTGACAAAAAAGATCTTGAAAAGTCAAACTTGTGCAAAATGTCAGGAATGGCGCTATGGTTTGTCTTGATTTTTATCCACATCGCGATGCTGTATATTTTTAAGCTTGAAACAAACGGCACAAGTTTTTGTCCTTGACGACATGTTTCTAGATAGACGTCGTAAACTTTCCCTCTAGGACAAGATAGCGTTTCCGATAGCTTGAGCGGATTGGAAGTTTCTCCTCCGATGTCCATAATGACGGAAAAGGCAGTTGCTGTTGAGGATGGTATGAATTTCTTATTTTTTTCGCGTATGGGAAATGGACCACAACTCAAGAGCACTGCGTTATTGCATAAAGCACAATAAGCATTTTTGAACATTTTTTTTGTCTTTGCTTCATACACAAGTCCGTATTGCTGCTTCAAACATTGGATTCTCGTTTCCTCTGGTGACGTAAAATTGTTGCATTTTGCTATAGATTCAAAACAAAGTCTTTTAGATTTATCTTTTTTAAAGTTAAGCGAAACTTTTTTGCAGTGTTCAAACATAAACTTTATTTTCTCTTGATTCGTTGTCTGACTTGGTGGAGCAAACAAACATCCAAATTCAATGTTTTCTACGAGTCCCGTGATCATTTCCAAGTTTTGTCTATGGCACTGAGCACAGAATCGGTTTGCATAGGTTTTGTTGTCAGCTGTAACTACTGGAAGAACATCTTTGTAATTATCAGCAGTCAATCTTTTGTTGATACATGACTGGTTGATATCTTGGTTGGACCAGCTTTGTGGACATGAAGCAATCATCCAGATACCAGACCTGCATGTCCATTGTTCTTCTGGTACTTTCATGGCTGTTTTAGTGGTGTTGCTTGATCGCTGTCGAAGACAGTATTGAACATAGTCTGCACAACAGTCCTTGAAATAGTCACAATACGGGTCACATGAACAGCGTAGTTTTTGTGTTCCTCCTGCATCTCGTTCATTCATACATCTGTCCTTGCATGACACAAACTTAGAGGTACAGTTCTTGATATCGGGTACGGATTTAGCATCCCTTCGCTGCCGCTCTCCATGTCTTCGTCTTTCAAAGAATGGCTGTCTTGCCTGATTCCTGACTTCCATATGCTTTAAAGCGATTGAATCACTTTTACATTTTTCTTCTTGCAAATGTGATTTGATAGTTTGATATTCGAAAGTTTTTTTTCTCGAAGCAAAAATGTAGTTTGTCTTAATTTTCTTCATGTTTAATCCATTTATTAAGCTTTTAGTTGCTGCTSTTTCTTCGTTCATATTTCCCTCGGAGGAGACTTCTTGAAATCCGTCTGAAGATCTTTGCTTTGCTTTTATCATTATCTGTTTATCCAGTCCAGCTTTTTCTTTCTCCATCTGAACATAGCCACTCTGGCCATCTTCTCTTATAATATAGCAAGAACAAAGATATGATGATGCCAAGAATATCGTTAAGGCTTTTACCTTCATCTTTAACTGAAACCTTCCAATGACTCGCGAGTTATTCTCGTGTCTGAATAAAGATAAAACCCGAGCCATTTATTATATTGTTAATTACCAATTATTGTCAGTGATAGTTATCACAATGTAAATCAAATGATAGACGATCGGGGTTCAAGCTACATGTAGTGTTTAACGTTTTTTGATCTCTTAATATAAATCCATGACGATCACACTTTACTCATGCGGCAACAATATCTATAATTGTCAATAAATAAATTGTTGTTTTGTACAAATTGTACCATTTTATTGTATAATATTGCTACCAATTACATTTTATTTTTGAAGGTTTCTACTTTCAACTCCGCTGGCACAAATGCGTTATTGTATTCAGTATCATTGTTAGTCGAATGGCGCCATTCATTCGCAATTCGAAATGGGTTCCTATTAGGTTTCTATTAAAAATACGAAAATGTTATAAATGAGAAGGCTATTGAAATTCAAAAATACGCAAACAAAGTGGTTTGTAACAGTTCAGTTTAAGAAATAAAACTTTTTGCGTATGTTTTGATTGTATGTAAAAAGCAGTGGACATCAAACAAGCGTTTGCAAAAAATAACGTTTTCAGTTTCGGATTTAAAGACCGGTACCATGGGGTCCAGAGGTCATGTATTCTCGCTCTGGCGTTTGCTGTTTTGAAAGGGTCGCGCTCGTCAAGGGAAGTGAATTATTTTCACCAAAATATGTTTTTCTTTTGTGCGGCGTTTAAACTATATCTTAAAAACAAATGACGTAAGTAAAGTCGCAGTTCTCGCTGGGGACAACCTCATATTTAAACAATTACATGCACAGTTTCGACTGACTCATTTACGCCTGACCTTGGATCACTATAGATATAGAATTTCCTGTATGTTATATTTTTTCATAATAGAACAATCCGGCCAAAGGCACAAATTAAACTTATGAGAGATAGTAGATCTCGCCTAGTTCTTGAATGTCTGAGTACTTCAGACACTCTGATGCAAGATAAGAGCCTTTGTGTACATTCTTGTAAGTAGAGGTGTGTATCTAGGAGTGCCTTATAAAGGACAGTCTAATGAGTGATCTATGGACGCTAAAATTGTCCAACTGGATTGCCTCCTATTGCCAACTATAAAAGAATTAAATTATAACGTCACTTTTATGTGAATGAAAATTAGAATATTGAATAAATATGAATAAAGAAAAAATTGTAAGAAAAATTTTATAAATGGCCTATAGAGGCTTTGCACCATCACGTGATGGCAGCCATGACAGGAGGCAGGAATAATATAGTCGTTCTCCCATGGGAAACCGAATTCTTTCTCATGTAAATCAGATTAGATAGATTCAATTGTTCCTGCCTCCTGTCATGGCTGCCATCACGTGATGGTGCAAAGCCTCTATTGAACCGGAAAGCTTGTGGATTTGAAAACCATTACCGGCCCGAAAAAACTCATAAACGAGATTTTATGAAAGTTCTACACAGAGGCGAAGACCCATGGTAGAGAAAACTGGCGGTAGTTGACCAGGTTGGCAGTTATAAAGATTTTTTTAAATGATAATGACCAGACTCTTGTCGTGCATATTCAATTTATTTCCATTTTTAAAAGTATTTATATTAAGAAAGAATATAAATTAATTTTAGTTGGCAGCTGGTAAGAAGTTTGGATCCAAGTAGTTGTATCCTGTAGTAGATCCACTCATACCAACGTAATCACCGTCAACAAAAAAACAAGAGTCCTTTGAGACTAATTCCAAGCGATGATGCCTACTGTGACTGCGAGACTCGGGTATTCCCCTGAAAATAAAGTAAAAACTTTAAAGTAAATATCTGCAGTCTTAGGAAAAGTAGTGTTTTTCAGGATCTAATCGAGTAACTTTACTCTGTATTAATTTCCAACTCTGGACTCCAACGGTTAGTCACAATCGGAATCAGAAGCGAGTCAGAAGCGAGTCAAAAGCGAGTCAAAAGCAAGTCAAAAGCAAGTCTGAAGCAACTCAAGTGCGCGTCAGAAGTGGAATCGGACGGATCGAAAGGATTCCTTTTTCTTCCGACTTCGATTCCGATCCTTATGACAGCTGTAAACTAGAATCGGAAGAAGCAGCGGAAGTATAAGCGTAAAACCTGTCACAACGCTAATAAAGAAGACAGAAAAAAATGGCAACAAATTCAGTGTTTAATGACAATGTTATGAATTGGAATTCTGATTTTTTCCCCTTTKGTATCGTGGTGGGTGGAAAAAGAAACATCAAATCGATTCACTTGCAATTTTTACGTATGAACTGCTTTCGTCACCGCTTCTGACGTAAGTGAAAACTAGGCTTTACAAGTGTCCGCTGGGGACACGAGTGAAAAACGTCTGCGCATGCTCTGAATCCGTATGAAAATTAGTCAAAACATATGTAAATTTGACTTTCAAACATGCCCTATAAATTGGACTTCACAAAATGCCAAAACTTAGTGCCCACGCTTGAAACTTGAGGCTAATTCTTTCATATTGTGTTTGTTAATACAATATCTTGGTTTGACACAATTATACTCTTGAACTTTTTTGTATACTTGGAGAAAACAAACATTTATTTTTCTCACTCAAACTCTTCAAAATTCTTAGAAAACGTGCTGAAATGGACGCATGCGCAAACGTTTTTCTCTAGTGTCTCCGCTGGGAGCAATCCCTCCGCTACCCCAGAACTAGGTCATACTAGGACCGCGTCCTCAGTCTTAGATTCATTTAAGTTTGTTATGATGTACTTTTTAAAATGTGCAAGAAAACACGACTTACTTTTCAATACAAAATGAACAAAAGTCAACACTCTTGTTATCTGGGCAATCTTGACAGTGCCATCTTGGACCAGTAATAGGTGATACACCACAACCATCACACTGGAAATATAACAGAGCCATATTGACCAAGCTCAGATAATAACAACGATACACAGGGACCAGTTGGTGGGGGACGAAGGGTGGGGGAATAAACGGGGGAAAGTGAAAGATGTTAATTGAGTGGGCCCGCGAGAATTTCCTTATCCCTTGAAAAGTTTGAAATTGAGAGTCTCGGAAATCGGCTATTTTTTTCAGAGTCGCTGTTTTGGAGGTATGTCAACACGTGATGACAAAATCCCAAACAGCATAAAACCATTACTCATCGAAACATGTTCCCTGCTTAACCCACTTCACACAGTTAAATATTTATGTACCGAATTCATTAAATAAAGCTTGTATAAGTGAATTTTTGGGATGCAACCACATAAATTATAATCCCTTCATATATAAATAACAATAAAGGTGCCGCCATGTTGAATTAAGCAAGAGATCTAACACTGACGTCTCTAACATTGTTGTTGTCAACCAACATGGTGGCTATGACGCAACGTGCAAACTAATAATTTGGGATAGCATATTCTTTCAATTTTCTTTGTAAAAACCATGCCTTGGGAAATATCTAATCCGTCCATCAAGTGCAAGGAACACCACTATAGCCACAGGCAGCCCAAGGTCTGTTTTTTTGTTTTTGTTTTGGGGAGGGGGGGGGGGGGGGGGGTTTTCTAAGAGTTTCCCGTTCATCTCTCAGCGAGGGATCAACGGCTCAAAATAGCTCCAGATCGGCTGGAAATTARTAAAGACTATTGGACATTACAAACTCTTAGTAAAACCTCCACAGACCTTGGGCTACCTGTGGTTACAGCGAGACGGTTAGGTCTCGGGTAACTTGGTAACATACATGCTAAATATATAATTCAACAATGAATTCTTACCATGTAACCAGAATGAACGGTTGAAGTTTGCTGCTGCTGCTGCTTAAAAAAAGATACACAAGCAATATTCAATTCTTCGTTTTCACCTACGTCATCATGAATTTCAAAAGCGTAAATTCGCATTATAATGAAATACAAGTTTCATAATCCTGTAAAGCGGTCCAAACTACATATACTGGCCAAATTTTAAGGCTGTAAAGCATTTGGTTGCGGAACTATAGGCGAGTAAACATGACGCAATTTTTGGTTAAAATGTATGGAGCGGCCATCTTGGTGTTCCAAGTTGGTACACCATCATGGCGGACGAAATTTCTAAGGCTTAAAATGATGGATTATTTAATATGTTTGACTACTTTTCACTCTCACATACTTTAAATAGATATTTTAAACGTGTCTAGGGGAAAATCTTTCAACTAGAGTAAATTATTTGAATATTTTCATCGCTATTTAGCTAGACGTGACGGTATTGCGTGACACAAACTCAACCTTCATAACTAGGAAACCAAACATCGAAATGACTCTAGATTTTTTTATACGATCTATAGTTTAGATTTGATGTTTTGATGACGTCATGTGAAAACCAGCAATTGGATAGTTCCACCATAATAATAATATCTAGGGTAATATTCAGCAGTAAATCTAGTGGCAAGCAATATTAAAATTTTGGTTTTCATTTGCAATGGAGCCAGTGGACATCGAAATGACCAAATGAAAATTTTTGGATTCAGCATGACAAAAATGAGAGATTGCTGTTTCCAATAAYGTTTGTTCGTCTATCTGTTTGCCAGGTACAGTTCATACGCTGCCTTGTTTACTGCCTATCAAGTCTATATTGTTTGTCCAATCCAGAAAACACTATACCTGGTCTACATGATGCAACTTTCTTCGCTTAATGTTTTTCAGCTGAAGGAGCTCTTTGTATTCATTCGTCTGTCGAAGTTCTTCTGGAATGACTTCATCATCCTTGAAAAAAGAAAATCATTAGACTTTTGCTTTCATTCACAAATGCCTCAAATACGCGAAAAGTCTGTTTAAAAAACTAATAAACTTGTGATAATAATAATAATAATTTACTAGAAAAAGAAATAAAAAGAGCTGAGATAACTGTGTTTGACATATCGTGGTTCCCCCCCCCCCCCCATAACTATTCCCATCTATGTCACTTGTTAATGACATCCCATGTCGAAATGTTCTTGATCTTTAAGGATGGAGAGCAGTTTGAAACTTTTCAAGAAAAACTCAAAATGTTCCTTTTTGAACAGTTAGTAGTAGACGTTCCTAGGATAAACATATTTACTCTACTTGGGACTTTTCCTCAGTCTTTATTTACTTTATTATTTTAATATATTCGAAAAAGGGATGAATGGGGGAACGGCGATAAATGATGAGCGATAGGTTATAAGCTACATCAAGACTCGTCTCACTTTTAGCTCTTTTAAACAAAAAAGTGAGGAAAATAAAGAAAATAAAGAAAATAAATAATATCACTACATGCTTTAAGTTCTAAATTATATTCCAATTCAATACACGCTAATGAAAGAATAAAAATCAAGAAGTAACTTTTTCCTATGTGAAAAATGAAATAAACAATCTTGACGCCTTATTTGGTGTCTTATTAGCGCCTTACACGTCTGAAACTTAATTAATAGTATTCGTAATCTACACTGTGTACTTTACGACTTATACGTTTACGACTCTACCTAAGGAAACAAAGACAACAAGACTAACGATGAATTACGGTTAAATTTTAAATGAATTACAATCTCCTAGCGTTTGTAACTGGTCGGTAAGGTAACGGTAAATGGTCGGCAAACGGAGTTACCGACCACTTACCGTACGGTGCAGATTGTTCACTATTACCATAAGTGATATAGGAGATAGGTCATCCCAAGATGCAAGAATAGATGGACTGACTTGGTGTTTCTTATTGTTATTCTTGTTGATAATACAGATGTTGTTGTTAAGATATTTAGTCTTTTTTGTAGTCGACGAAATCATTTAAAACACCTCGATTAATCGTGTTTAGATGTATGCCCACTGTACCTTTCGGTCGTGCGATCGCTAATATAATAATAATAAAAATAATATAATAATATATAATAAATACTCACTGATAAACAAGATATATCATCAGAGAATCCTACACTCGAGTCATCATCGTCATCATCATTGTTATCATCCATGTAGACACGCGGTTGATATGAAGGGAAAAATGTGGAATTCCTAAAGCCAATAGTACTGTAATGATTTGATCTCCTATTCAGCTGCAAAAAATTATTACACAAACTTGTTATCATTTTCATTGCATTCTTGTATCATTTCTGTTGCTTTTGTGAAGAATAAATTAATAATATGAGAAATAGTGGTGGATCATTGTCACATGTTGCAGTTTTATTGCATGTCATGTCCATGTAATCTCCACCCTACTTTCATCATCCTATTACTTTACAAGGTTTAGTTCATCTTTTTACCACTCTTTTCACTGCTACAGGGAAATCGGGCAATRCACTGCCGCCAATCATATAGAATACATTCATACATTCTCATGCCACCAATCAGAGAATATAAAGGTACCGACTAATTTATTTGATTGACGGAAGTGTATTGCCCAATTTCCCTGTTGCGATTGTTGTCTTGATCAGCTCGTAGCGTAGTGTAGCATTGATAAGAGTGGTAATGACTCTGGACTTGTGGAAATTTGCTATACGCAGTATACTATGAAACTAGTCATTGTTTTCTTTGAAATAGTTATTAGTCTGTTATCTACGGGGCTTTTTGGAAAAATAAATTTGAATAAGTTTGAACAAAAGAAAAAAGAGGGTATGACAAGAATTTAAACAAGCAGACATTGTTGTTAAAAGTGCTCATAATTTATCAATCAAATCCCCCAACCTACCCTTGAGCCTGCCTTGGGTACATTAGGAACCCTTCCTGGTATTGGCAGTCCTGCTCGTGCTAATTTGATGAAATACTTCTGTGTTCTGCTTGCAACCTTAAGTGAAATATTATTTGATAAGGTAAGTAACATATCATGGTAAGGAAGTGTACATATGCATGGTTCCAAGCTACTCATTTGCATGTTATAACCTGATTGTATACATTGTAATGATAATGATAATCATCATCATCATCTTTCATCAGGGAGCCCACTCATAATAGGTGATTTTCAGTGAGGCCCTGAGAAAACACATATGTATATAAATAATATAACTAAATAATATAACTCTATAGAGGATAAAAGTCAGACCCAGTTTTGGCGTAKAACTCCACATGCGCCGAATCCAGCGCAAATGAACAGACCCATTGTTAAGTTCATTTGCACTAGACCCGGCACATGCAAAGCCCGACACCCGAATCTGGCGCTAATGGTATAATAAAATGATAAAAAATTTAGAATTTACATGTAAATGCACAGGGGAAAAAACCGGATTCCCAAATTGGGAATTGTTGGGAATTTCCTTGAATTCACAATTCGAACACCAACGTTGGGATTTATTGTTGGGAATTTCCTTCTAATACCCAATAGAAAAACAACATTCCCAACAGACTAACATTGGGAATCAGTGCCATGTTCCCAATTTCATTCTCTCTGGGAATTGGATGGGAATTTGTTGGGAATTCAAGGAAATTCCCGACAAATTCCCAATTTAGGAATCAGGGTTATTTTTCCCGTGATGTTGCTTATAGTAATCTTAAAACGATTAAAAGATAAAGTTCTAATGTGTTCAGGGAGACTGTTCCAATCATCAATGGAGTGACATATAAAGCGGTTTTGTCCCCAGTTCTTGTTGGAATGTGGTTTGCATAGATTGTTCTTATTATGAGTGTTATAATTATGGGTGTCAGCAAAAGATGAAAAGTTAAAATCCCAGTCCAAAAGACCATTTATTCCCTTGAAGGTAAAAATGAGACAGTGCATACGTCGTCTCACTGACATCGTCTTCAAGACCTTTATAGTAGGAGTAGACATGATACATTTTAGTATTCATTACAGGGGTCTATTAAAGGTAGTAGATACCTGCTTAGGTGTTCTATTTCCCAAGGCCTTGGCAATTTTTTCCCATCTCTTGGATTCAACTTCTTCTTGAGGGTAAATTTGCAACAGCTTTTCAAGTCGAGTCTACATAAAAACAAAAGTATTGTCAATGGCACCATTTCTTTTGCATAATTCTAACTATTGCACATAGAATTAATAAGTTAAATATTATTCAACTTATTAGTTTTCATTTTGATCATAACCTTACATCATCTTGAATCATAACCTGTTCAAAAATTGTCAGGTTGAAAAGGTTAAATCATTGAAGTTAAGACTGAAGGGTGTAATCAGTAAATGACTAAATATTATGCATATTATAGTACTGTCAAAAATTGTATTCACGACAAGCTACTAAACAAAGCATTGTTCATGTGTCTGTATGCAAACGTTTTCCAAATACCCAGGATATAGACTAGTCAATATTCCTTAGTCTTTGATGATTTAGGTGAACCTTTTCAATCTGACCTGTTTTGTTTTTAATTTGGTGTACAAGAATAAGAAGAAAAGTAGGTTCTCTATCAAAGGAGGTTCCACTAGCATCCCAGAATGCATTGTGAGTGAGATTGACATTTTTTAATGTTAAAACAGCTAAATTTAATATTTTGGGAATTGAAAAATCAATTGTACTTAAGTAGACTGTACGTCATACCTTTTAGTGATTTAAAGATACTCGTCAAAATACTGAGATGAGAGTATGTGGACCGCGTGGCACTAATGAAATAGTAGAAGATAATATAGGTATGTTGTAGTGCTTGGGAACGAGGTTATTCCGGGCGRAAGCCCTTGGAATTAAATTCGGAAAAATTAATTTCCCAGCGAGGTCAGAAATTAATTTTTCCGAATTTAATTCCAAGGGCTTCCGCCCGGAATAACCTCGTTCCCAAGCACTACAACATACCTATATTATCTTTGTCAAAATACTGAGTGCTTTTGGAGTACTTTCAGGTTCAGTACAGATTCTACATGTACATACAACTACAGTACACTGTAACTAGTAGTTTAACTTATTTGCCAAATACTGAATGTCGAACAAGTCTTTATTAAATGCTAAAGCAACACCTTAGGAATAGTATTATTTGTGGTAAAAGTATCATTAAAAAAAGATTCACACAAACCATTTAAAGCCAAAGAAAGCAATAAGTGTGCAAAGGCTCTTTGGTACTACGAGTAAGTGGATCCTCCTCCAGTTCTCTATTATTACGATTAACAATTAATATTCTCAGATTGTGAATTGCTGTACCTGTTCCTCTGTGGTCCATGGTTGGTTAAATGTTCTTAATTTACTTGAGTGGCCACTCTCTTCTAAAATATTATTCTCTGCTGATACAGAGAATATCATTTCACTGGGAAAGAGTAAATAAACCATAACAATATTTAGTTTATAGAAATAGAAAACAGGTTCCAGTAACAAAACTAACAAAACATGCCCAAATATAAACAGAATATTGAATAATCCATGTTCTCATATATTAGTGATATTCTACCTTCCTCTGTTGGATGGGGAGATGTTTTCAGATGCAGAGTCATTAGCAAAGTTTGATGGCAATTGTGGTACTATGATAAAAATCACACAAGTAAACATTAAACACTTATTTACTGGGACCAAGGAAAACAGTATGTTTTGTTATCCCGAGACCGCTGATGTTTCACGAGGCGGAGCCGAGAACAAAACAAAAATGGAGAAATGAATAAGATTTTTAATGTTTTTGATACACAACTAAAAAGAAAACGTGTGAATGAATTTTGCAAACAGGCGCTCAAATGTGTTGCTTTCTGGTTTCCGGTATTTATATTTTTTCAATCACTTGACCTCCCGTTTTGTTATTCCCAGTCCATAAAATAATATTCCCCTCCCAGAATGGTTGCCAGGAAACAGTCGAATTTCTTCACCTTCACGTGACACAATCTCGACCAATAGAAATTGAGGAAAATTGAACTTTGACACTTGGTATATAATAATAAACATTACTTATATTATATTGTTATATTGAACCAGACACAATAGTTATGGCTGCAGCTAGTTAAACTGAATTATCAATACCAACAAACTACAACCACTACTTAGCAAAAGCAGTTTTTGGGTTTCCTTTCTTTTGAAAGGCCACAGGGTCATCAGTTGAAAAATTACTGTTACATGCTACTCTCATGAAATAAAGTGCTGTATTATCAAAATGAATATTATTATTATATGGCTAATTTTTAAAAACATTCCAGAGTGACATAACATTTGCAGCATACATGTCTTGATACCTTTTTCCACATGGTTTGCTGTAGCCCTGGTATTAGGATGTGCAGATAGATTTTCTAAAGAACCAATTGATGAAGCATATACTTCCCATGGTATGTTGGGTAACTTAGTAACATTCTGTGCAGCTGGCAGATCTAGTGGCTCCTGTATTGCAATACATTAAGTAAAACTACTAATAAGAACAATTAAAAGTAATTTATATCTTGAAGACTTACCTATTAAAAAATAATTTAATTAAATAAACGAGGGAGGTGGGAGGGAGACGGAGATGAAACTGAATAAACTATCAGGAATGGAGTATTCTAATTGGCTAAGAGTCTGCCCTTCGAAAAGTGTTAGAGTATGCCCTTGCGCCAAACCAAAGACTTTGTGTCAAAGTGTTTTCATTACCTGATTGCTCGATTGCTTAAAAATGAAAGTATCCTGATACTTATGTCATTGATGCATAACTGACATGCAATAAATATTCTGTCTGAAGTAGAATTTCTATGATTTTAAGCCATAGAAGTCAGGCATATGTTGGTACTTGACATAACAATGGTCTTCGAACAACAGCCTTCGAACCACAAATATTTGTGTCAAGGTAACCAAATGAAAGCAGAACCAAAAAAAGAAAAAAAAGGAGTCGGATGAGTGGCCCTTAAACTTTTATGGCAGAGGGTGTACGTGTAAAAAAGAAAAAAAAAAGGAGATGGATGAGCGGACCTTAAGCTTTTATGAGGGGGTGCACCTGCACCCTGTGCTCCCCCCTGGTTATGGCCCTGAATCATTATTACACATGTAATAGATAGTGAACTCACATTGTTTTGTAGCTTTTCTACAAACTCAATAGGATCATCCAATGCTTTTGCTTCTTCTTCACACAGCTGGTCTAAATCCTATCACATTCATTATAACAAAACTTGGTTGTTGTATTTGAATAATTTCATAAAAGAGACCTCATCCTTGTGCTACATGGTATGTTGAGTTATATAAGCACTTGGGAAATTTTGAGAGCATTCACTGACCTACAATGTATGGCTTGTGCCATAGATATAATTAAATCTTGTGTTCTGAGTGCATGCTTTATGAGAGCACACAGCAAGTTGTGCCATTCCTATCCAAAATGATGGTTTTTGTAATTTGTATTTTACAAAGAGGAATATAAAATTGGTTGCCGTGTTATAAAGCCTTTTGGGTTTGGAAGAACACTCATGAAGTGTAGAGAATCTCGCTACTTCTGCTAACACTTCTTTCGTGTTCTGCCAAACCCTGTGGGCTTCAGTGTTTGGCTGCTAGCACGAGTCTCAATATCTCTTCAATATAAAAATACCAGGGGGAAGAAGCACTAGGTGGGAGTATAAAGTGATAGGGATGTGAAGCTGGAATCCAAAAATCCCTGACCCTCACTTAAAATGTATCAAAATAAAATACCCGGCCTGTTCAATACAAAACACTGTAAATTTTAACCCTATCAAAGACCTACAGTATTAGAGAAAGTAACAGTGTTTATGGTGCAAGTTGGATGCTAAAAATTATTTGGGGTAACCTATATCCAAGACAATATAATGGAAAACATATACCCTGTCTAAGATCTTCATCCTGAAAAACCATAGCCCATGATGATGATTATGATTTATATAGCGCCCTTTTCTATGTGGATATAATCAAAGACGCTTTACATGGAGTTGTGAATGACAGATTGCCTTTTATGCAATTTACAAGCATGAGAGATGGTTAGTATGAAGTGGAGGCAATGAGGTCGGTCATTGCCAGGGTTCTTTTTTATGCCCTCAGTGGTTCTTTTACAGTATGTCCCCCATTTACTGTAGGTTAGGAAGGGTTGGGAGACAGGGACTATGGTTTTAAGTCCTTGTCCGAGAAGACTTGAAGGTCTAACCGTTTGCAGATATAATTACAAAGGCAGCACCTTCTCCTCAGTTATTTTAAGACCCTGAGTGATGGTCCGGCCRAGGCTTGAACCACAACCTCCTGCACAACAGACCGACGCTCTTACCAACTGAGCTAACCAGGTGGCCAGCTTCCCATCCAGTGGAACATCCCCATATAGGCTTTATATGATAGTACCAAACACCCCCGACCCCCCCTCCCCCAGGATAAAAATGGATTTTATTGATGTCATTGATAAAATATTTTCAAAAAGTGTTATCTTTAAAAATGGCCAGCTTTCAACTTCTCCAAAACGTCATGTATATTCCGGGTGTTGTTACTAAACCACAAATTGAATGCAGCAAGTTGTGAAAATATATGATTTGTTCTAACCTATTTTTTTAAATAGCATACCTTTATGGCTTGTATTCGTTGAGCTTCTAATGCAACAAGAGTCTGCAGCAGAAGACAATAGCTAAAAAAGAACCATATAAGAAAATATATAAATAAATATATATATATATAAGAATAAATATATGAAATTATATTTGAATACTAACCCAATCCTAAAATGAATCAATTTTCAATATATAATTTAAAATCCTATTATTTGGAAGTATTTTTACTTATAAACATGCGAGAAATCTTTAGCTGCGAGCTGCAGCTTGAAATTTGTTTTTTCGCTGCCACCAGTCAAAAATATGAAAGGTACTGACTGATTAGTTTTGATTGACGGCAGCAAAAAACAAATTTCAGTGTTCAGCTTGCAGCTAGCGAAATAGAAAGCTTATGAAAATAGTATAATATATTGATTTTATCAACAGCACTTGATAGTCTGTACATTAATGTAGATTTTGTTCTAAAAAATCAACCTTAAAATTAATAGTGATGTAAGTTAATCTTAAAGCCAAATGAAATTATCCAATGGGCTATTGCATACATTTTTCGTACCCCCTGTTGAGGACCAAAGTTTGTAAGAACCCCCTAAGAAATTCCTGGAGACATGAAGACCCCTTTGGAAATCCCTGCTGTTCATGACTTACCCCTGAAGAATACAAATGCAAAAACGGGGTCCTCAACCCAGCACAGCACAAAAAATACAAATGTAAAATCGGGGTCGTCAACCCAACACAGCACAAAAAATACAAAAACAGGGCCCTGAAAACCAAAGAATTCCAGCAGAAAAAACTATCACCCCCTGAAGAATTCCATCACAAAAACAACCCCGACCCCTGAAGAGTGGGGGGGCACAAAAAATTAATGCAATAGCGCAATATAGCAACATAAATCAGGCGATTTCGTTACTTACTGTTTATTATCTTTTAAGGCGAGATAGTCGGACTCAAAGAAGAACCTTTCATATGGTTCACTGGATTTAAAATCATCGTCTTCATAATCAGATAACTGACTGTATTGCCCCATAATACCAGATTCATTAACAAAAGTCTCTTGTTTTTCATTTTGTTTTTTGGAATTGTCGGTGCTACTAATGGAGCTTCTCCGGCTTGACTTTGTACTGCTGGATGCGCTGCTGTTTGAACTGCAATCATTACATGTATAATTGTCAATACGAGTTAACTCTGCCTTTAAACTGTTTACATCTGAATCAGAAGTTGTAGAAATGTTCGATTCTAGTTTATCTTTGATTTCTGTAGCATTTTTTTCTGCTTCGCAGGAATGGTTTTTGTCACTACAGTGATTTGCTTGGTTTATCTCTTCCTCAGATTTCGAAGAAAGTAATTCTTCATAGTTCAATATTTTTTCTTCTTCCTCTACTTTTCCATTTAATTGATTTCTTGAGTTCTCATCTCCTTGTTTTTCACTTGTAATACCTATAATATCTATCTCCTCCTCTTCGACACCCAACTCTTTACCAAACGTTTCGCCGCAACGATCAATAGCTTCCCTTACGCACGCCATCGTCCTTAGAGCATAAGGATTTCACAGGTAAAAAGGAAGGTTAGAGAAAGAAAAAAAAGGAAAAATATATATAAATGCACAAACTGTTCCACTGTTCCACCGGTTGCTTTAGCAAAAAGAGCAGCTTAGTTTTCTACTTTCGTCCGCCATTATCGATGAAATCCAATGAGCCCGCGTAACATGTCCGCTGAAATCACATGTAACCCAGGCTATCCACTTTTATAAGAAAATGTACGTAGTAAAAAGATTTTGCTAAAGCTTTAAAGGTTTGCCACTACCACTCACCCCACTTCCATGAAAACACTGCTCCATGGTCCCTGGCTTTATTTCCCACTATCAATCAATCAGTAATGATATAAGGGTAAATTATACACCGTGAAAAGATGAAAAAACTTACTGACGTTTCGGACGCTAGTCCTTCGTTGGAGTAAAAGAGGTTTTTTCATCTTTTCACAGTGTATAATTTACTCTTTATCATTACTGTTTCATTAGAAACACCGACGCAGCTCACACTAATTTTTAGGTAGTTATCTCTTATCAATCAATCAATCAATCAATCAATCAATCAATCAATCAATCGTTTATTTAATCATCAGTACAGTGAGAATAAACTAAAAACTAGCTAAAGTATTTAGATATGAGAAGTAACTGAAATGTTATATTAATGTATTAGGAGGAAAATGTTGTTTCTAATGATAAAAATATGATTATAACTTGAAAGTAACGTTCCTTAGATTACTTTTWAAATTATCAACATCATTCGACTTGTGAATTTTTGAAGGGAGTCCATTCCAGAAACTAGCGGCAACATAGCTAAAGGACTTCTTCTTCCATTGCAAATTATATTTTGGGAGTTGAGGATATAGCTGATCACCTCTTAAATTATGTTTGGTTTTCCTAAAATTGAAAAGATTTCTAGTATATGAAGGGCCACTACTAATACCAAATAAGCATTTATACAGTAGTACAAGAGACTGATATATTCGTCTCTGCTTTAAATTTGACACGTTTAAGGCCAGAGCAAACGCGCGCAACAACCCAAAATTATTGGACAAACATTGTTGGCGGTTGTTGGATAGTGTTGGCGATTGTGTTCCAACGGTCCGACTATAAATTCCAACATGTTGGGCATTACGGATGACAATGCAAATGATCCTGGGGCGAAATACACCCACAATACCTTTCAAACCTAGTGTTTGTTTATCCGCCATTTTGCTTGAAATCAGAAAATCATCATGGCTGCATTCATACTGACGTGTAAAGAAACGAAAATGCGTAGTAGTTTAGTTATAAATGAAGTCCTAAGCGAAGAAAGCAAAAAAAGTGTCGTGGAGCTTCTTCTCTCTCTGACGCCATAACGAAAATGGCGGCTTTTCCAATTCAACTTGTGTGCTTTGCGATTGTTTGTTTGTATGAAATCTCCATGGATTCGGCGTGCAGTGCGTGTACGCCAGCGCAACTTTGTTGCACGTGCAGTCCAAACGAACGCAACATTTTTGGGCTACGCTTCGATGACCGCGAAACAAAAGAAAAGTTGGGACTCGTTGGCTCAAAAGTTTGACGAGTTCCAAACTTCACCCAACAACATCCAACAAGTCCCAACAACACGCAAAATGGTGTTCAAACGCTCCCAACATTTTGGGCACAACAATGTTGCGCTCGTTTGCTCGGGCCTTTAGCGATACTTAGTAATTGTTCATGTGGGACAGATTTCCGATAATAGCGTTCTGAGAATATAATAATTGGCGTTATCTAAACGGTCGCTTTGTACTTTTCCTTTACCTAAAAGTAGAGGGCCTCAATAATCCAAATGTGGAAGAATAAATGCCTTATATAAAATTATTAGCTTATCCATAGGTAAAAAACGTCTGATCCTTCTAAGAGCTGAAGCTTTAGCATATGCTTTCTTGAGCTGTTCAATAATGTGAGTTTTAAAATTTCATTTACTATCCATGGTTACCCCAAAAATTCTAATGTTGTCAGATAGCTTTATTTTTTGTGTCATTCATATTAAATCCGTACAGATAAAGCCTGTGTCTCTTTGTGTTGTTAACCTCTAAAGATTTTCTTCTAAACCAGGAAGATAGTATCTTCAGATCATGATTGAAGACAAATTGAAGTACATTTGGTGAGACACCAACAGCATAACTAGCGGTGTCATCGGCATACAGCCTAAGAGAGATGTTCGGGATGCAGTAGCTTAAATCGTTAATGAAAATGTTGAATAGGAGAGAGGCTAAGAAGGAACCTGTGGAACTCCGGCTTTAACGCGGATACTATAGCTTGATACTTCTCCTTGCAGCTTGACTCGTTGCTTGATTTTTGTAAAAACCCTGTTCTATAGTCCCTGCTGTATTTACCACTAATATTGTTTTCCCCTCTAAATCATTTATATGCGTAAAACATGAATACACAGGTGGATAATCCCTGAACTACTTCCGGTTGACAACTTGCGTTTTATATTTAAAGCTAATAACAGAAGCACTTTATAATTGTGTCTTAATAAGGGCAATGAAAATGATCACTTAAAAATGTCAGTTCATGTTTGTAGCTGGCAGCCAGGATCGCAGCATTTTCCCGTATCTTCAGTCTATTTAATTCTCTCAACACGAACGACTAGCCCGCGGCAACGCATGAGAAAGCGAGAAATCATTGATCGTAAGTTGTTTTGGGAGATTCTATAGATATCTATGAAGGAAAAGTCCAATGCATACGATATGACATCATTATCCTCCCCTATAGCAGGTGGCTTATTTCATTCGCTTCTTTAATAAAATACGTATCGCTAGCCAAAATAATCATTGATTAGACTATTTTGTAGCCAAACAATCTACAGTTTTGTCCATGTTTCGCGGGATCTAGACGGATGAGGTCTTTGTTTATTTTGCTCTTCCTGGGAGTTCTGGTCTTGAGCTCAACGGGAAAAAAAAAGAAGCTACGAAAAACTACAGCATTAAAGAACACCACAAAACATGGTAAGAAATATGACTAGCACTAAACTGATGGACTTACTGGTRCTCAGACCAAAGTTCAAGGGAACTTTGATATTTCTTGAACGAGTGAGTAATTAAATCAATACCATCGAATATCAAGTTCAGATTGTCGAAACGTGAGCCCGAGTCGGATGTGTGTACACATGGAATTAGGAAATATTTCGAGTGTGTGCCTATTGAAATAATTTAAAACAATCAAATGTTGATGCTTCAGCCCTAGTTGAAGTGTCTTTATTAAATATTTTTAACGAACATTTGGACTGGCTTCTGTCGATAAATATATATATATACATTCATCTTAATTGACTTGAACTGCGACATAGTAATGTCGAACGTCCTGAGATCTGTAGAATCGTTATTACGAATCGTGTGACGAAAGTATAGCATTGTTATTTATTATTTTTATTATTTTTATTTCTTATTAGCTTTTTTTTTTTT